GTAATAGATAATAGACTTTCCTGGCAACCACACATCTTTTCTTTAAAGTTAAGAATCAATAGACTGACTACTTCCATGCGATCAACAACCTCGTTAAGATGGGGTATCCCATGTCACTTGCTTAGAATATGGTACAAGACAGTGGAAAGACAGTGGTGGAAAGAATTATTCTGTATGCCGCTGCTATTTGGGGAACTAACATCTCTTCCCAAATGAGACGTTCACTACTCTCTATACAGCGACACCAGCTTCTTCTCATTTGCAAGGCTTATCGTACCACGTCCACGGCAGCCTTACAAATTATCGCAGGCACGCCGCCTCTGGACTTGTTAATTGAACGAGAGGCTGTGTAGTGGTTAACGTAAGCAGACTACGACACACCATGAGTCTCTGGGGACAAATTTATATCCATACTGATTATGAGCATCACATACCGCAAGCTCCCTGCCACCCTGCTAAAAATAACCTTGTGGACACTATCTACTTTAATAGAACACAGGACTTGGGATTTGCAAATGGTGTTTTCACTGATGGCTCTAAAACTCCAGGGGGCACGGGAAGCGGATTCTGTATACTTTCTGGAGGAGCTTTAACGTATGAGTGGAAAAGAAAGCTCGCTTCTGAAAACTCTGTCTTTCAGGCGGAGCTCATAGCAATCAAAGCAGCTCTTCTCCACCTGAAGAATAATCCCACAGTGCCCAATATCATCTACACAGACTCAGCCTCAAGCCTCGCTGCAATTCGTTCTCGCAGTCCTATCGTCAGCAGCATTAGAGACGTTCTAACACACATTTCTGCTTCGCAAAGACCCTCATTCCTCTGGGTGCCCGCTCATACGGGAATAGAAAGAAATGAGAGACAGATGTTGTCGCAAAGGAAGCAGCTGATTCATCCACTTTGCGAGATGTCCCGACCCTTAGGCCAGTCTCGGACCTAAAGAGTCGAACATTCCATCAGCTCCTAAGAATATGGCAAGAACGTTGGGATCAAGCCTCCACAGGGAGACGTGTTTACAATCTCATTCCCAAGGTCAAGACAACAATCCAAACTAATAGCAATTACATGACGTATTTCCTCACTGATCATGGGGCCTTTCTTTCATACCTCTGCCGCTTTGGCTTGAGAGAGAATGGTAACTGTGAATGTTGGGAGGAGGGTCATCCAGACCATTTTGTGTTCTCCTGCCCACACACAGCACTTAACAGCCTCAAGCAACCAGGAGCCAGATTCTGGCCAAATTGGTTCCAGAATCTACAAAGTAACAGAGTTTCCCAGCTGAAACTGAAAACAATAATTTAGTACTGTACTAGCAATTACTGTTCTAACGCTGGAGGATAGTAGTGATAAAGGTCTATATAAGCTAGTTCAATACTTCAACAACAAAGTATGTGATATGTATGTACAATATGTAATTTTGTACTTATGCTGTGCTAGGTTCTCATACATAAAGTTCGTACTGTATCTGTACATGTTTATATCTTTTATTTATGGTACCTAATTTATACTAAGGATCACGCGTACCTCAATGGCATGCTTCTTGTAAACTTTAAGTATCATGATAACGTATATGTATGGATGCATATATCAATATGAGTGAGAGTATGTATACTTTTATTTGATTCTTATATCATCTACACAGCCTTTAGACATACATTGAATAATGTGGTTACACAGATTGGACTGTCTTACCACATTCTGCATATGCCTAATATCTTTGTCTGCTTATTATCGAAGTATACAGGGTTTGACTTCCGCAAGGACAAAAGGGGCACATGCCTGGGGCCTTCGGAGTCCTTTGAAAATTAGTTACTAACTGTCCAAACTAGTTGTTATTGAATCAGAGTCATTCCAGAGTGCATGGTTTGTTTTTCAGTTTTTTGCTTTGCCCTCTTAATTTAACGAACATTATGAGTTTTTAATTTTTAATAGAGATCTCAGAACAGGGGAACATGTAACGAGCGTTTTCACATAAACCAATATCATATAAAATAAAACCATTTCAGAAATTTGTTTTAATTTCCCACTCCCCAACTGAAGGTTTTCTATTAGAATACTTGAAATAATTTTTGTATGAATTAATGCTTATTTAATTTTTGAGAAATAAAATATAAAAACTGAATTGCCGCGTAATGGATTATTAAATTAACATTTATAATGAATGAGCAAGATGACATGGATTTTAAACAATTCCAAAATTAATTGTTAAGATGGACAGAACATGAATACCACGGAATATCTCATCAGAAGAAGTTATTTCCTCCACTTTGAAAGAAACTCAATTTTTTAATTCTACATTTTATTCGTGTACTTGATAAAAAATTTATTTGTTATACTTTAGTCATATTTCTATAACTTAGTTTGTAGTAAAACCAGCACGGATGCTTTAGGCTGTTGCTTCCTCGCCCAGATTCTTTCGGGGCGGAGGGTGGAAGATCCTGGTTTGAAACCAATGACTTTAACTTCATACAACGTATACTAAACTTAAAAACAAAAGCAAAACGCACAAATTGTCGAAACGTACATTTTTGTTTAAATAATTTTGAATGAAAAATGTTGAATAATAAGATTATTTCACGAAATACTTTATGTGAAATGTGCTTTTCATCACATATTATTTTTATCAATGGCATATACCATACGTTAAAAAAATTAGAGGTGCACCGGGCATCCTGTTTTGCAAGTTAGGCCCTGGAAATACATCGCTGAAAGAACGTACACATTTCTTGACGTAAAGTGAAAGCAATTTGCTCCACAATTACTAGCGTAGAATTTCTCTTTTAGTGCTTTGGCAACTGAGCTAATATCAAAATATTGTGGTAGACACCGTATCACCGGAATGTAATACAAAAGAAGTGCATGGCAACTGCGGTTAATATTCTAATAAATACTTAATAAAGCAAAGTCTAGGAGTAAGTCCTGTGGCACGCATTTTGAAATAGATCGGCGTTACTGGTATGTTTCAAAGCAAACGGAGATATATGTATTTGTTAGACAGATATAAATGGATGTTAGTAGTATTAGTTAGTAGCAATGAACTTTCATCGCCTCCAGCTAAGATGCCACGGATAGCTTTTCATACGTAAGGAAAAAAAAAAAAAAAAAACGTAAGCTTTTAGCCGTATATAGTTACAAAGAGGTATAATCTGAATGACACAATAACCAGACTCCAGCTGTTATGTCGGCCAGTCTTTTGTGGGAGGTCCACCAGTCACCGAACGTTGAGATCACTGTATAGGGATGGTTCCACATCAATTCAAAACCCAATGAATAAGTTGCCTTCATATTTGTTTTCTTGGTTTTCCCTATATATAAGGTCAATAACATGTACTTTCGTTTAAAATGCACTTCACTAGCCACCCTTCCTTCAGCAGATAGCCTTCGCGTAATCATATTCAAGGGTAAGAATTCCTATGAGCAAACATGTGTATTACACAGCTGGTAAATAAGCAAATAAAGTGGACGCTATACAACCATACTGAATGCCATCGTTAAAAAATTCCCAAATAACAATAATAAGCATATTTGCAGTTATTGCAGGCAAAGTAATACAATCCCAGGGCGCTAATAATGGTAATGTCTATTATATTCCTATCCAGTACCATTATCGCAATCGTGAAAAGAACTGAATTTCTCTGCATATCGAGAGGCTTCTGGTGAAATTTCCAGAAAGGCTGCAAAAAATTCTATGTCAGTTCCGATTTACAATTCTTCTATGGATAGGTGCGCTTAGATTTGATTACTTAGGAACCTTGCCTGGTTTGCGTAGTTAAGAAAATTTAAGTGAAAGGAAATTACACTCCTCTTTGTGAAAACTATAGCACTGTGAAGGAATCATACGAATAAATTCAAACTTAAAGCAAATATAAAGGAGGGTAGGAAAAGTAAATAATTAAGAATTTCGGAATAATAGTACATGCTTGGAGTAGAAAGCTCCCACTTGTTAGTCATATAAACAGGAGGCTGTGGCGCGGTGTTAAAAGTACAGTAGTACCTCGCGATACGATGTGTTTAAGATACGAAGTGAAATATCGCAAATATTCGTGCTCGCGAAACGATATGTTTTTCGCGATGCGATCCCAATATCTCTTGCCGCTTGAAATTGTTTTGAAGTTGGCGCGCTACGGGCAAACCGCACGCGTCACTAAACAAGCCTCAATACGTCACTATTCAAGCTGTTCTGGTATTGGTCGACGTGACGTCATCTTCCTTTCTCTATAAATCCTGTTCTACTATTGGTCGGCATCACGGCATCGTAGGATACCGAGTCCACACAAAGCGTCGATGTGATATCCTTCTCGAGACCGCGTGGCATTCGTACAGTTCATACGATATTCTTGTGATTGTGTGATCGTAATATTATTTTGTGATAAACTTTATTCGCCATGGGTCCTAAATGTGCTTCTAGTGCTGGTGGTGATAAGGGGAAAAGAAAGTCATCGATACCATGGAAGTGAAGTTGGAAATTATAAAAAAAAATACGAAAGTGGCATGCGCATCATCGCTATTGCTAATGCATATGGACGAAACCAATCGACAATTAGTACCATTATAAAGAATAAAGAAGCCATTAAAGCCAGCAAGTCTGCAAAGGGCGTTACCACCTTCTCATACAATAGAACTGACCTTAATGACGAGATGGAGACTCTTCTTCTTATTTGGATAAAAGAGAAGGAAATTGCTGGTGATACGATAACACAAGCTGCTATATGCCATAAAGCCACTGCGATCTTTGAAGACCTCGCAAAAGCCCAGAGAGACGAAGGAGGCGAAGGGACATCAACACAAGAGGCCCCAACGTTCAAAGCATCTCATGGGTGGTTTGAACGATTCAAGAAGAGATCGGGGATACATAACGTGGTCAGGCATGGGGAAGCTGCCAGCGCGCCGATGAAAAAGCAGCGAAAGAATTTATCGAGGCCTTCAAAAAGTTAATCCTCGATGAAGGCTACATCCCTCAACAAGTCTTCAACTGTGATGAAACGGGGCTTTTCTGGAAGAAAATGCCCCGTCGTACATACATCACAGAAGAAGAAAAGAAACTCCCTGGACACAAACCCATGAAGGATAGGCTTACTCTTGCCCTATGTGCAAATGCCAGTGGGGATTTAAAAATAAAACCCCCACTGGTATACCACTCAGAAAATCCTCGTGCCTTCAATGCACATAATGTGTCGAAGGATAAGCTCGCCGTCTTTTGGAGGTCCAACGCCAAAGCCTGGGTCACGAGGCTTTTATTTGTTGAGTGGGTTAATTGCTGCTTCGGACATGCAGTGAAAAATTATTTAGAGGAGAATGGTGTTCCTCTAAAATGCCTCCTTGTGCTCGACAATGCCCCTGCTCATCCTCCTGGCCTTGAAGAACAGATATATCCCGACTTCGACTTCAACAAAGTGCTCTATCTGCCACCGAACACCACTTCCATCCTCCAGCCTATGGACCAGCAAGTCATTGCTAATTTTAAGAAGCTTTACACGAAGCACCTTTCCAAACGATGCTTCGAAGTGACAGAGAGCACGCAACTCACACTCCGTGAGGTTTGGAATAGTCACTACGACATTGTCCATTGCTTAAAAATCATAGAAAAGGCATGGGGTGAGGTCTCAAGGCGCACCTTGAACTCAGCATGGAGGAAACTGTGGGCAGCTGTGGTTGCAGAACGGTGTTTATATATGGGGCGTTGCACGAATTAATTAAATTACATAAGATTACATTGTTCATTATACGATTTTTTACGATACGATCCCGGTCCAGGAACGGATTAAGATCGTATCGCGAGGTACCACTGTAGTGTTTTGCAATCTTCCATCAATATACATTTCAAGATAAGTTACTAATTCTCATCGACCACATTGGCAAACTGAGCTTTTTGAACGGGGGAAATAATCAGCCTGCAAGTAGAAGGATTCTCCCATCATGAAATTACAGCTCCTATGTACTGTTGAAGTTGACACTAGCACACTCATAGCAGTGCTCCTGTTGTGCCAATTGTCGAGCTGAAGCTGCAGGATCACGTGGATGAGATATTCCTCATAAAGGTTCTTTGAAAGGCGTTGTTACATAGGGCTAAGGAAAACAGGAGAAGTGGCAATGGACCATGAAGTGTTAAGCCATCACGGTATGAGGAACATCTCATCCACGTGATCCTGCAGCTTCAGAGCTCGACAATTGGCCCAACAGGGAGCACTGCTATGAGAGTGCCAGGATCAACAGTTCGCCGATATCTGCTGCACCGTAGATTGCATCATCCTTTGTGCGAGATCCTTCTGTTGCAAAACCATCGACGCCAGTGGCTACAATGGGTTCATTAACACACTCACTCGTGAGCTTACTGACAACAGATCGTCTTTTCCGATGAACACTACTTCGTGTTATTAAATATTTTGAGTAGAATAATGGTCGAGTACATGTTATAGAAGCGTACATTATATAGATGTTATGGGGGGGGGAAATGTTATCTCGCGAAAAGGATTATCTAGCGCCATACGGAACAGTTCCCAAGAGTGAAAGTGTGGAGCGCTAGTGGATATTATGAGCTTTCTCGTCCGGTAAGAATTAAAGGTATTCTCACTAACAACCGCTACCTCACGGAGGACATATTAAAGGCATTTTTGAGGATGTATTTCAATTGACGAATGCCAATTTACACGTTGCTAGAAATGCTCATCTTGTCAGTTACCGCTTCTTTGTTGACTGCTCATTTGGGATTTCGTGGGCGAGCAGCCTACTTGTGACATTTGTCTTACAATTAATACGTATCAACTTTGGCCTCGAATGGAAGTAACATAGAATGCTTTTGTGGTGTTACACATTGAAAACCTGATTCGATTGCACTGCTCTCATTGCAGAACATGGTGGCTTCACCAAATACTGACTTTTGGCATTTATTACACTTGTATTGCTCTGTAAATTAAACCGTTCCTTTGCATCACTACAAGTCGTATGTAGATTAAATTTTATTCAATTCTGATGATTATTATTAATTTTGTAAATAGAAGTATAAGCAATATATGCAGAAACGTCATACAGATATTATCGGATGAGTTAAAATGAAAAGTGAGGGTGAAAGTACGACAATTCCTGCTTTGACTGCTTTTTTAAGAGTTTTATGTAGAAACTGGTGCAAGCGCAAAGAGCGAAAATTTTGAAAACTTCTTCAACTAAAAAATCACCGAAATGATGATGAAATGTTAAATGTGGTTCGTCTTTATTTACCTATCATGTTACATTATTATGGCAACTCTTCAGTCTTTACCGCTGACATCGAAATTTTTTCATATTTCTCTCTATCATAATAATAATTTGCACATGATTTTAAGATTTTTCTTCAATAACATAAACAGCAAAGCAAAAAGCTTAAAGCAAACGTACATACATACGTCTCAGTTAAAATTCGGCTTTTTATCCTGCCACTTGATTAAACAAATGAGGAGCAATTTTTATAGTGGTTAGGGAGACTACTGCGGTACCGAAGGGCCTGGATTCGAATCCCGGAGAAGGCACGGATGTTTATAAATGTTAAGTGTCTTTGAGGCATTGGGGGCACTCTTAAAAATGCGGCGAGCCGAAAGCTCTCTCGAAAGGTTAGTGGTAAGGAAAGGGGTGAGACATACTCGGACCCGTCTCCCCGGTGTGCTCTCCAACAAAATTGGGGAGGGGCGGAGCTGATCGAAGTCGGACTGTCACCTGTATGGTGCTCAAGGCTCTGGCCAACGACAGGCGCAATCTCGCCACGATTAATTTCGTGGGCTTGTTCTGATGTTACTATCAGACAAGTGAGATAAGTCACAACAACATAAAGCCGGTCAGGATTGCTAGTCTGCGCCCGCTTGGATGATCTCCGGAGTCTGGATGTTAATTCCTGAAAGGTTAATTATACTAGGGCAGGATTTCGTCTCTGGTGTTCTGCTTACAAGTGAGATAAGTCACAACAACATAAAGCCGGTCAGGATTGCTAGTCTGCGCCCGCTTGGATGATCTCCGGAGTCTGGATGTTAATTCCTGAAAGGTTAATTATACTAGGGCAGGATTTCGTCTCTGGTGTTCTGCTTACAAGTGAGATAAGTCACAACAACATAAAGCCGGTCAGGATTGCTAGTCTGCGCCCGCTTGGATGATCTCCGGAGTCTGGATGTTAATTCCTGAAAGGTTAATTATACTAGGGCAGGATTTCGTCTCTGGTGTTCTGCTTACAAGTGAGATAAGTCACAACAACATAAAGCCGGTCAGGATTGCTAGTCTGCGCCCGCTTGGATGATCTCCGGAGTCTGGATGTTAATTCCTGAAAGGTTAATTATACTAGGGCAGGATTTCGTCTCTGGTGTTCTGCTTACAAGTGAGATAAGTAACAACAACATAAAGCCGGTCAGGATTGCTAGTTTGCGCCCGCTTGGATGATCTCCGGAGTCTGGATGTTAATTCCTGAAAGGTTAATTATACTAGGGCAGGATTTCGTCTCTGGTGTTCTGCTTACAAGTGAGATAAGTCACAACAACATAAAGCCGGTCAGGATTGCTAGTCTGCGCCCGCTTGGATGATCTCCGGAGTCTGGATGTTAATTCCTGAAAGGTTAATTATAATAGGGCAGGATTTCGTCTCTGGTGTTCTGCTTCCAAATATGAATCTTCAGATTACAGAAGCAAAACAATATTTATGTAAAGTAGTATCATCAGCAAGTTCCAGTTTTATTTGGCTCCCAATTTCGGCGACTGGTATGTGGCAACGGAAATGTAGAAACAGTATTGAGACTAACGACTTCATATTAACAGTACATATCTCGTTGATTGAGACCGTTTACTCAGTCTTTAAAATTATTTACAAGCTTGACCTCCAAATGAGAACACGAACTAAAGTACGTTTTAATTTTTATGTTTATTTTATTCTTAATGACTTGCTCTAGCATTTGAAATTTTCTTGTTTCTCCTCGAAAAAACTGCTCAGCTAGGCATCATTTTGAAAATTATTTTTGGCTTTCGAAAATTGTTTTGTAAATAAGTTGCTTACAAAATTTCATTAAAATTAGAAAATAAAAGTTTATATTATATTGCCTCCCTCTATATGTATATTGTATAAATTATGTACTAAAAACATTGAAGGACTTGCTTGTTTGTGTTGGTAATTGACTGTTACCTTTCAAAATCTTTTTAACTTATAAGTGCAAAACTGATCCCTTTAAATTCTATAATTATGTTGAAGAGGTGGCGCCATCTTTTGCTAAAGGATAAAAATTAAATGACAAATTAAATTCATGTCCCAAACAACAATTTACCTCATTAGAAAGCCAATACGCATCTTACAAATTCTATACCTGGGTATTTTACACTCCGAACACCACAGCATACGCGGTTGTTTACTAATTTTTTTAATAGTTAATTTGTTTTAACTATTTTTACGTCTGGCTAGTTTTATCGGATTGTAATGAAAAAAATGAATCACGCAATTCTGTCCAAAACTAAATATTTATATGGCCTTAAATTTTTTTTTTTACTGATTATAATAATACTGAAAATGTTCTTAAATATCAGTTGGGTGTATTAAATTAATAGCATTTTATATTATATCAATAAGACACATTATTAAAAAGCAAATATTTAAACTATTAAGAAGACGTTTATTGCTTTTAAATTGCTCAACACACTGTGTAATTATTATTTAACAAGAGAGATCCTATGACAGAGTGAATGGCAACACTATAGAAACTGCTTCTTTCCAGACCGCGTACAAGCAAAATTAAAAATCTTATGTTTGGTTCAATCGCCACACTTGTTAAATTGCGTGGATATAATGCAAATTAGCGTAACGTAACGTAACATAAAATTTTTGAAGATCGCTGAAAACTGATAGCTTGACTTAGTTTTAAATTCGGCAGAACAGGTTGACAGCATGCAGCAATTTTCCTTTAAAAAGTCCTCTATGAAAGCATCCCACGAAATAGCAGTAAGCCTTCGAGCCTATCCTTATCAAAATTTTTCTAATTGTCAATTAAAAAGATATTTTAAATCAAAATAATTCAGAGCGTTTCATTTCTATTATGAAAAAAATTCTAATATTAAAAGTGCCGATGCTGTAAGAGAGGCCGTAATTTACAGTAAATAAAAATACATAAAGCTGAAATAATTAAAACAAATACATCTTTATATTATATAAGCGGCTAAAGTGTGTGTCGCCGATAGTTTATTGTTGCCACTCGGAAAAATGAGCGCGGAAATTAACGTTTCCACAGTTTTTAATTAAAATCTCGGCCAAGTCGTGCGAAGATGAGAACGGTATCGATGGATTCGGAGAATTTTTTGGAATCCGAGAATACGCGTCTCGAATTTCAATTCGGGACCGTCCCGTAGATATTCGAGAAAAAAGAATTTGGAACGTAGCCAAATCCCTCTAACAGGGAAAACCCAAGAAAGAAAGTGGAGAATGTAGGGAAAACGTAGGTAAAATTAGTTTTTAATTAATATATCGGCTAATTAAAGTCCCAAGAAGACGCGAATGGTCAAAATAGCGTGCCACGGACCTGCGAAACCCAACGCTTTGCTTCGCTAAACCCGGGAGCCAGCCGTTTCGGAGGAGATGATGTCACTTCACTCCATATATATATGCGGCTTAAGTGTCTGTTTGTCGCCGATAGTTAATTGGTTGCTTGCGTAACTGTACTAGCCAATGGGGGTAAAGTTGCCACGGCACAGGGCTGCCGTTT